TCTGCGGTGCCCCTCTCCGGACTTCCGCAGTAGCTGCGGCGCCCTCCATGGCGCCGCTGCCAGCAGCAGCACCCTCCGTGGTGCTGCCTGACCCTTCTCCTTTGGCCAACAGCTTCGACATCATGGCCATCATGCCGTCAAACTTGCTGTCCAGCGATGCTTCCAACGAGGCTACCTTGCCTCGTAGCATCTCAACCTCATCTGGTCTCCCACCAGGATCACCACCGGGAGCATTTTCGCTCCCGTCTCCATGGCTCTCCATTTTCCGAATGGACTCCCTCGAGGGATGGATCACTAGTGTGTTGTATATGTCCGCGAATTGGAAGGGAGAGACTGAATATCGCTTGTATTAGAAACGCAGAAGCAAGAGAAGAGAAGAAGAAGAGTGCTTCCGGAAAACAGAGAAGCAGGGGTCACAAACACAAGAACCCCAAAATGGTATGTCTACGTTCCTATCTGCGAATATATCCGTTACTGCGGTCGATCAATACCTGTCCGTATCCAAACACACGAACAGTGCTAGGCACCGTATATCCGTCTTTGCTGGGTGGTCTTTCGAGGTCTAGATCCACGTGCGGAACCTCGGCCTACCCCAGAGACGGGGGGGGCAGGCCGGGGAGAGGGTTTATGAATATACGTCCGTTAAAAAAAAAGTGTTGCTTAAAGAGGGGTGGGGGTGTTACCCGGGTTTACTCTGGACACGAGGGTCCAATAGCAGCCACCAAATAAATTACGGGGTGATTCTTGTGCATGGCATAGATAGGAGGTATCGGTTGGTATTCGCACCCTCCTGGGTGTGGAGCAATCAAGCTTTGAAGATCTCTAGCACCCCCGTGCGTTCTCTCGAATTGTTAACGGATACGGTGACCGCAACTCTTGCACCATCTACTATCTACAGCATGCAGGATGTTGACGAGAGGAAGCCCGGCAACCTTTTTTTGCACTCCGCTCAAACACCAGGTTGGTGCCATAAGGGCAACGTCAACCAAGCACATCTTGCTGAAGAACATCGGTGATGCTACGGTCAGCTTGGTGGCGTGGTATTTACTGGGGTACGGATTCGCATTCGGGGAGGATGCAGGGCACTTCATTGGGACAAGCTTCTTTGTTTTCACAGGTAAGCGCTGTACACATCAATCGATGCGGCTGTAGCTTCCCGAAGCACCACTCCTTTTGCATGTCGGATGTTTGTTCCCTCGACTATCATGTCAACTTTGAAAGGGAGCATGTACTGTATTCCCCACCCTCGAACTTTCTCTGAGAGCAATGCAGATTCCCCGAGAGGTGAAATCGCAAGAAATGAACATTGTGCGCCCGCGTCCCGTCCATGACACAACGAAGCACCAACAGCTGCGCGAGTTTTCGATCAGAGCGCAGCGCGAGCAGTTCATCTCATCCAGCAGCGGAGCCTCCATTAAAACTTCCAGCTGTTGAATGGTAGGACGTTGGGCGTACCTGTCGAAAAATGGCGGTCAATGGTTTCCATCTCGGAATACGATTGTCATACACGTAGTTGGCGTTAAAACATGGTAGGACGACACTTTCTTCCGGTCGTCCCTAACCCCAACCAAAACAACACTATTATACTATCATATGATACCGAGGTCGTGTGCTGTGGCTAGTGCAACAGTAGGTTGGCGCGCGCACTGGAGACGTCACCTGAGGTCAAAGCGCCCGTTCCGCATGACAGCACGAACCGCCAACCGCACTACTGCTGTAGAACTTTGGCGGACCAGGACGAAAAATGAACGAAAAGCGGACATGATCATGATCATGATCATCATTCGGTCATGATCCGATCATGACGGGGTCATCGCGAGTCATGATTTCGGTCATGACCGGTCCGCGACCTGGATCATGATCGGATACAGACCGGGATGCTACCGGGTCATGGCGACGCTCTTGCTTCTCACTGTTGCAGGAATTCCCACCCAAATCAAGACAAAAATGAGAGCGTCCAAGGAGAAATCCCATTTCAGCCCCTGAATTCGAAGGTCGGTGGAATGTGTGCTGCCGAGACCCATCCAAATATTCCAGATAGATTAATTGAAATTCGAGAATAGGCAATACTTTGAACGGTGTACTACGCTGCGGAGCAAAGCTTGTGGGTCCTACCATGGTGCGCCCTCCTCGCAGCCGAGCAAGACGGAGCCCGTCTCAAGACACATACCTGGTAGCACCGACAAGTGGGTGGTGCAGCCGCTCATCAAGACGTTGGCGATGATCCGGTCTTTCGCCCGCATGCATGAGAACGACGCTCAGAACAGCTGCTTGCGATAGCGACTCATCAGCCGAACTGCTCTTTGTCGCTCCGTTGCTGTCTGAATATCCCTCTTCGACCCGCACCATCCGTCATTTTTCGCCGTCCTCACGTCCCGACTGTCGTCCCCCAGGGAGCCCATTCGCGGCAACCTCGGGGAACAGCACCGCCGTTTCTTTCCTTGATTGCCTTTTCCAGTGGTCGTTCGCCGCGACGTGTACGACGGTCGTTTCAGGTACGTAGTCGTTGACATATGCGCCGTCGAAGATGCACAGTCTCCCACACTACTGGAAGCATTGCGAAACGGCCCACAAGCTACCCATGGGTGGTCCCATCGTCACCCTGTGAACTGCCCACGAAGTGCCTACCGTTAACACAACCTAGAACTCGCCACCGGGATATCAACCTAGAACTTAGCCATGGCACATCAAATTACAGTAGAACTTCGCCACCCATCACCAACCTAGCAGGTATCGTGTGGGCTTGGGGTTACGGTTGGGGTTAGGGTCAACGTTGGGGTTATTAGCCGTTTTATTGCCCGTGCCGGAGCAGAAAAAATATTGTTCAGGAGTACACTGGTTTTGGTTGAAGGGTACTCACTGGCCACTAATGGACGATTTAGCAAGACTGTAGAGAGTGTAGGAGACCAAGATGCACCACGCGATCGATCGCCACAAATTGCGGAGACAGCAAAAGACGTCAGCATGGATAGCCTCTTCATATTTCATTCAAAGTATGTGAGATAGGACATGCGGACGCGCGATTTCCGAGACTGCTAGGTGGAACAGAATCGTTCGCTTTTCACAACAACAGAGTCCTTGGGTCGTTCACCAGATACGTGCGTATGTCTCGGCGGGGGAAACTGGGGGCAACAACCCTGATCGCACCTCCTCCAAATCCCAACCGCACCCACCTCTGCTTCCCTCTCAGGTGCTGTCGCCGACCGCATTCCTGTCAAGGCCTACCTCGTGTGTAAGTGAGGTTTTGCTGGGGCTTGCTCAAATTTGCTGCTGATTCTTGCCGACCCTTCGGTACTCGCTGCCTGGCGTGTTTCTTCGTGAACCACTTTGGAGTGTATGCGGTACATTAAGGTCCACGCGAGCAGTCGGGACGAGCATTGTGAAGTAACGCTTCAGTTTCAGTGAAGAAACACAAGGCTCGGAGAGTGAGGTGGCACCTTGCTCCGTTCAAGCAAACCAAGTTGTTATTGTAGCGAACCGATTCAAGAACTGTGCGAATGATCGAATTTAACTCTAAAAAAGTACGTAGCTGTCGCTGTCAATGTCCGTTTACGCAAACACACATTCAATCGACGTCCCCGGAGGCAGAGTCACAGTTGGTAGCATGTGAGACAATTTCGGCGAGTACTACAATATGCCCGGTTAGCAGGCACGAGGGCGGGCCGTCATCTCAGCGGGCCGTCGCGCAGAGTGTGTTCGCCTGCATGCGGATGTGATAAGAAACTTTCCTGTGACTGCAACGATCGCCTGCCGGTCGTCGCCCCCCCCTGAACACGACTCCACGAATGCAGACGCCTTCTTGACTTCAGCGCTGTTCTACCCTCTCCTCGCCCACGCGGTGTGGGCGGACGACGGGTGGGCCTCACCTGCTAGGGAGAATCCATTGTTTGGATGCGGTGAGTCGAACATCCCGCTTGCCAACCAGAGGATCCGCGTGGATGCAACCAACGTTCGGACATAGCTGCCTTCGTGAAGATAGAGCATCAGATACCCTAGAGTTTAAGCGTATTTTTCCCATCAGGGTGCATGATGCTTTCCCGGATAGGCGAATGATTGACATTGCTGACAAAGGTGAAACCGGGTATCATCGTGTGCGGCACATCCGGGCCACGCCTTTTATGTTCTCTTGTTTACCATTGAAGGGTCTGATACATCCCACAATTCCGACGACTACATTTACTGTTCTCGGATGTCTCGAGTGGTCTCGGAATATCGAACAGAGGTCTCCGGTTCAGCACAAGCGGATACGATTGCTACTATACGCGAGGGCAAGCATGGCTTGCAATATGATGGTCGGTATGGTCGCACAATCGGGGATGTGTGTTGAGCGAAATATTGCTTTCTGTTGTGTCTGGTGTGCGGGACGACCAACACCTTAAACCTAAATCCACCTATATTTTCCATGGGTTGCACACGTACCTTACCACCAATCTGCTGACTGCAGCGGGCTGCACTCTCGCTGCTACTTTTCCCTCCTGTTTGAGGAACCTAACCTGGACGCCGAGCGGCATATCCGCCAATCTCGTGGAAACTCACGACGGCGGCCTTAACATCTGATGCGTGATAAAAATATTCGGAGCAGGTGTGATAGATTTTGCCGGGTCAGGCATCGTGCACATGCTTGGTGGTGCCATCGGCCTTTTCATCTCGAAAAAGGTGAGGAGCCGTCCAGGTCGATTCTTTCCGCCTAAGCATTGGGACGGCACGCTCAAGAACCACACCGATCAGCCCCAGCTCAACGAAGCGGGCTTCCGTTCGAATGATGCTACGTGGATGACGTTGGGGACCTTCCTTCTTTGGCTCGGCTGGTAAGTTTACGCAACCAATCGAGATCCGCGGCGACTACACAAAAACTGCAAATCAAACGGACATGCTTCATCCTGTCTTTCTTGCAAACCCCCGTGTTGCGCGATGGGCGTGAACACGTGCAGGTTTAGAGTTTCATTCCCGACATTGAGAACCCTCTGCCACGGCCACTGGGTCTACCTCCACGCTCTTTTTGACGTTCTTGAAACGCATGTCGCTGTTGCCCAGGTATGGTTTCAACTGCGGATCCGTCAGCGAGATTTCAACCACCGAATCTCAAAATGCCGCCGGACGTGCTGCCTTGAACACGTCGATCGGAGCAGGCGAGCACTGGGTCCTCCTACAGTTTTACACTTGCGAAGCCCCCAACGACTCACTTAAAAAATCGTGGTCGATCACATTTGAATACGCCCGTGGGGGCGCCTCAATTCAGATTGAGCACCGAACACCCTCATACCGTGCTCAACGGTGGAGGTGTAGAGGTGCTGTGTTTCCAGAAGAAGAGGAACACCTCCAGGGCACAACCTCTTCCGGGGTGTCGCCCTCTGTTGTTGAGTTTGTAGCAATCTCCCGACACAGACAGACGCCTGTTTTGTGTTAATGGGTGTTTCTTAACAAAACCAACAACAACGAAGACAATGACGAAGACTTAGCCCGAAAGAATGCACATTGCGCGAACGCACCACGAGGCTGCCAACGAATCAAGTTCTCGTTGTTCTCGGGCTTGACCAGCCGTTTTGTAGAGGGACATTCTCATAGAGGCCAAGGGGGTTACGGCATGCCGTCGAAGTACAAGCATGTGCCCGTGACCACTTCGCTTAACGCCATGCATCGATCGACCGCCGCATCGAATAATGTACGTATATCTCACAACCTGGCCTTGCAGCTTGGGGGTGTGCGTTTTCCATGCTCTTCGAGCTTGGCTATCACAGGTGGTCACCGGAGTATCGTAGAGGTGACGACATCGAAGATCCGCTCCACGTAGCCACGTTCGACGTCGACGGGGGTGAAGAAGCTGACCGCGCCGAGCGAGTGCGTCTCGCAGAGAATGACCTAGGCGAGAAAACTCTGGCAATAATTGCCAAGCACAACGCCGAGCACGAAAAAGAAGCCTTTACGTGGCCCTGGAGCACCCACATCAACCTGCACGGGGCCGCCTGCAATGGAATTCTCGCGGGACTTGTCGGCATAACAGCAGGTGAGAACACGGACGTGCCGAAAATGATGACCCGCTACTCCCACCATGTCGTATGCTCGACGTGCGTTGCCTGCGATCCAGCTTCGATGGAGAATCATAGATCCAGGGAAACGGATGCGTGGTGGCGGTGGTGGTTGTGAGGTGGGGGGGGGGCGTACTCTTATGTTTTGCATGTCTTCGCGGTTAGACCATTGACCACGCGTCCTCGAGAGGACGGAGCATTGTTCCCACAGGACCGATCACCGATGGCCAATCGTTCCTTTCTACTTTGCCAAAGGTGGCTCAAAAATGTCTTCCCTAGTCTGTCTATCCTAACGATATCCCTTCCCGCCTTTTCAACCCACCTCCTATGCCCCAACACAGCTACTGTCCTTTCCTCTCTATTCCATGCCTCAAACATCTCCCTGTGCGTTCCATCTACTTTTCCCAGCTCAGTCACGTAT